TGTGTTATGATATGTATTTTGAAATTAAAATATATTAATTCAAAAAAAAATATGATAATGACTATCTATATGTCAAGTGCATTCTTCTGAAAGCCTGCTGTAAGAAGGTCAAATACAGGATAAGCCACCTACAGATTATGATTTTTCTATATTTTTTTTCATTACGTTGTGTTGATGATTTTTATATAGACTTGTACCATGAAAGAGAAGCAGCTAAGTAAAGTTACCGTGATGATACTTTAAATAGAAACAACAATGCGTATATGACAACATGAGTTCCGCAAGATAATCTACCGTACATGAAAGATCAACACCTTCACTGCAACCTACCAATGCTTACCTTATATGTAGCTTGCTTTTATGATCACATAACAATTAGTTTTATGATTTTCTAGGTGCATTAAAATAAATTATTCAGTCACTTATTTCATTTTAATAAATATATATCATTTTGGCACTCGGTCGGCTCCTCTGGTCCACTGGCCTCACCAATTATGTGTTGTTGTTTTTTTTTTCTTTTCTTAATTTGACACATTTTCAACCCAATTTCAAGTGAAAGCTTTCCATCTCTACTGTATATGTATATATATATATTAGGGATGCACCGATATATTGGCCGCTGAAACATATCGGCCGAAAATGGCACTTTTGGCATAATGCCGAAAGTGCCATTGTCCTGCCGATACATCGGCGCATCCCTGATTTATTTCCTCCCGGCTGGCCGGCTGGGCGCTGCTCTATATCCCAGCGGGGAGAAGAGAAAGTGACAGCCGGCTGAGCGCTGCGGTGGAGAGCGCTGTGAGCAGCCGGCGTCTCCTCCCACACCGCTCTGCCGCCTATATCACAAATGTATTTGTTCTATAAATATAAATATAAGTGTCATTTTCCATAGGAAATATAGAAGGACCTATCTCAACCAAAATCACCGAACTAATACTTGTGACCACAAACTATTAAATGGTACCATTTATGGATCAGACCTGATCATTTATGTCTAGAACAAAACAATAGCAACCTATCAATGAATATAAATGAAGAAAAAAAATGGTGACAGTAAGTTCTGAAATAAAAATAAAAAAGTAACACGGTCAATTTCAAATTTTGTGCATGGCACGAATGGCAGGCTTCTATATTTTAGTGATATCACAATGTGATTTGTTTACCAAATCCGTAGTGAGCCACATGTACAAAACCTAGAAGCTCCATCCATATATGGTCTGTAGACCTAAGGGGGGAAAAAAATCATAAATTTGATACAAGTAAATAAGTAAATGTAAAAAAAAAAAGGGTAAATATTTCAACAATTTCTTCATATAGATATTGAATATTTTATTTTACACAACATAACAACACAGAAGTTGTTGTTCTGTACAGCATTTGCCTAAAAATAAAGGCAACACCATTGTCACTCAAAAATAAATACAGTCTGGTCTCTTAAAAAATATTTTTGTTTTTTGTTTTTACTAATTCTTCCATAATTGGTCTTTTTTCTAAACTTTTTGTTTTGTATGTTGAAAGCTTGAAGGATTTTCCCATATGAAAGGCCTTTAGAGTGAATTCAGTCTCATTTTTTTTTGTTTTTTTGTTTTTTTCTGCTGTGGCAGAACCAGGAAACCAGTCCTACAGGAAGGGAAGGCACTGGTGCTGATTTTGTTTTTCATTCCACAATTTTGCAAATGTATCTTTGTAATTTTTGCAAATGTATCACCGTTGGAACCCAAACTTATTTGTGCAGGTGGCTTTCACACAACCCTGTTTGTAGAAGCCTAAATGAAAACATCGATAGGAATTTCAATGTTTTATTTTGTATTTTTGTATTTTTTTTTTAGAATGGCGTTCCAAATATTTGGAGTATTTTCACTTTATAGTTGTATGCCAAAATAGGAGATAATCACACAGTGCTTTCCAATATCCATTCGGAACTTGAACATGTTGCTTTCCCGCTGTCCATGTCAGAACTGTCTGAGTGACCCAAGATCCCGTTCATAGACATGCTTCTTTTAGACCACAGTCCGCCGGTGTGGAAGGAGTTCACATAGCAATGGTACTCCATTATCTCTCCGTTTAAAGAGTACCTCCGCTTTACTCTAGAAGTGTCTGCAGGTAAGGTAAGAAACTTACTCGGTTTTGATTGTGCTCTTTTGTAGGTCGGCGCTTCTTTAACAGACACGGCGGGGCGGCTAGCTAACCGAAGGGCAGTCGAATTATTTCTATTCGTGTTTTGGGATTCCATATTTAAAACGGTGTCCGTTTGCGAGTCCGCGGCTTTTGATGCGGTCTTTTTCTTCTTCAGAGAAGAGGTATTAGAAGTCCACGCGTGAGGCAAAGCAGAGGTAGTGGGGGCGGCGCCTTGGCTCGAGCAAGTGTCCGAAGAAGGCGCGGCGCTGTCGGTGGACTTGCAACACTGCGCGCTCTCCTCGTGCTCAACGATCTGCTTGGAAGCAGACGGTGGCAGTGATGCACTGCAGCCTTGGTTCTGGGACCCGTTGGTTTGCGAATACACGTTGCTGACTTTTGTCGCCTTGCTCTGCCCGTTGCCGTTACAAACCCTATACCTAATCATCAGGATGATGATGAAAACCAGCACAGACGCAACAATAATCCCACCTATGATAATTATCATGGTACCTCCCAAGAACTGGGACTGCATAAAGTGACAACGGACGTAGTCTTGCTCCGTGGTGAACTGGATGCAACCGATGACCCGCGTAGCCGTGAGAGATGTGATCCCGTCATCGTAGATGGCCAGGACGCAGAGGTCGTAGACAGTCCCCGCGGCCAAGTTGTTCACGCGGAATGTCTTGCTAGTCGGAGGAATCATTCTAGAAATAGAAAAGAGAGAGAGAAAAAAAAACATCTTCGGATTATTGTCTACTAATGATTACACCGACTTACAAACTGAAATGTCACTTTTACATGTTGAGAATCGCTGACGAGACTTCAGCGAGCCCCGAAGACGAAGGTCTGACAATGGCTGCGGGTTTTTTAAAATATTTTTTTATTGGGGATTCTAATTAAAACCGCTTGTTAGTACGGAAACGCTGATGACTTGCTCGTACTGGATTCGTTTATGACAGATCGGTTTTGAAAGGTGAGAATGTTACATTGACTCGACTTCTAAATAAATCCACTTATCGCACACACGCCACAACACCACTTTTGCAGCTTGAAATAACACGGGGGCGGGGGGGGGACACCAAATATAGCAGAGCTTCGCTTTGGGGGAGCTTCTATTGACTTCACCGAAACATAATTTAGAACTATGTTACAATAATTAATACTTTTGATGACAAGGAGCTTCAGGATATAAAAAAAAAAGATGAGTACAGTCAAGAGCTGGCATAGGGAAAGATAATCAGCACTCCTCAAATGATGTCCGTTAAAATCAAAAGGTTTAGTACTGTCTGATTTTCCCAAGACCTCCTGCTCTCTAGTTCCCTTGTCAACTCCTCCCATGCTCGCCTCCAGGACTTCTCTAGAGTCTTCCCCCATTCTTTGGAACTCTTTACCCCAACCTGTCCGTCTGTCTCCCACTCTGACTGTCTTTAGGCGATCCCTTAAGACTCATCTCTTCAGGGAAGCTACTAAATTTAAATATGTTCTCATTGGAAGTAAGGAGATTAAGGGAGGACATGATTTTCATGTATAATATGTTAACCGGGGATAGCAGCATTAGCAGCAAACCTTTTACACTTAACTCCATGACAAGGACGAGAGGCCACCACCTAAAATTGGTGGAGAAAAAAATTCAGCACAAGGAGCGAAGGGGTCTTTTCTCAGTTAGATCAGTCGGGGTCTGGAACTCGCTGCCACATGCTGTGATTTCGGCTGAGAGTGTGGAATCTTTCAGGCGATTGGATGATTTCTTCAGGGACCGTAATATACAGTGGTACAAGCACTCTTAAGATTGAGAACACACAGGGACCTATACATACTACACATCAGTAGGACCATACACACATACACACAATAGGTTGGACTTGATGGACATATGTCTTTATTCAACCTCAAATACTATGTAACTATGTATCTATGTAACTAGCTTATCTGACCTCAACCTAACCACTGAAATATCACTTTCTCAAACAACTCATCCCCACACAGCGACCTCCTCATGTATCACTTCCCCCTCCCTCTTAGATTGTAAGCCCTCGGGGGCAGGGCCCTCCTTCCCATCTTGTCTTGAATTGTATTGTGATTGTAATGTCTTCCCTATATTGTAAAGCGCTGTGCAAACTGTTGGCGCTATATAAATCCTGTATAATAATAATTTCTCCTAATTCTTGGCACACAACTGGTCCATACCTTACTTTTCTGCTCTTATTCTTTTCTCCCTTCCTGTCTACGTTTCCTTATACGTGAACATTTGTATTGAGATATTCTTCCTTTGATACAATATAATATACTCTGTATGTTATTACTACTAGATGGTTATTGTTTTCCACACCTGTAAGTTGTTTATACCATCTACACTGAATGGCCAGTTTATTATGACCACCTGATGTTTGGAGGCAAATTAGCTATAATTTTGCGGTGAAGTTGCTAGAGGGCCAGACCATTATAAATAGGGAAGCAGGTTGGTTACCACGACAGTAGAAGTGATTTGTTTCTGATAACAGCGCGATGTAACAGCCTTTGAACGTGGGAAGATTGTTGGCGCTCAGAGCCATGGAGCGAGTATCAGCAAAACAGCAGAATTCGTTAAATGTTCAAGTGCAGCTGTTGTTAAAGTGTTTAAAGACCGGACTGTCAGCTGAAAATCTGGGTCTGAACGTGCGAATTGTGGCCGTCAGCGACTAGTCAATGTTAGGGCAGAACGGGGGAGGGGCAAGACTGGTACAAGACAACAGAAGGACAAAAGTGCCGTGTCAGATTCCTCGCATCACCTTTCACCATCTCGTGGAGTCACGAGGCGGCCCAACTAAGTACTGATGGGGGGGTCATAATAATCTGGCCACTCAGTGTATATGTTTGCTGTGTTTGTATAACCTGACGTCAATAAAGAAATACTAAAAGTTAAAATGAAAAGGTTTTTCCACAGCAGGAGGAGGAAAACAAACAAATGTTTTTCAGCGTCCAGTTGTACTCTGCTCATAGGAAATAAAGCCTTGTTTTTACCATGCAATGTTTGTAGAGTGCCAACTACCATGTTCTGGCCTGCTGAAACATGGGGTTGATGTGCTAAAGTCAAAGAGGCTTTTTTACTTTGCAAAGAGATTTTCCCTTAAAAGAGATTAATGGGGTAAGCTTTTTATCCCATAGTTCTCTTTAGGGCCACAGGATGACATATTCTAACCTCCTCCCATGACCCAAAGCTCAATATATAGCAAGCTATTGCCTGCTATATACTGAGGTCGCCGCAACTGGGACGGATGCCGACAATACTGTTGTGATCCACCCAGCTGGCTGATTGACAGCGGGCTCTGACTAACTAGAAGCAGAGCCAGCTGTGCCCGCCCCCTCCCACGTTCATTCCTCCAGTCAGCCCTGGAGGATTGAAGAGGGGAGGAGGGGAATCCCTGCGGGGAGCGGTGGCTGTCAGTCACCGCTCTCTGCAGAGAGATGATCAGGGAGTGAGTGAGCAACAGTATGCATTCGCTCACTTCCCGATCTATAGAACCGAGCCAACGTGTGACAGTTTCAATGCCACACATCGGCTTTAACTATGAGGATGAGTGGAAATCACTCACCTCATAGTTCTCCTTTAACGTAGTGAATGCGGTGAAAACTCATTTTGCTAAGAATATTCAATCACGTGCAAGGAAAAAAAAAAAACAGTATTTTTACTTGCACATGATTGGAGGATGGGAGTTCCACCTCAATCATGAAGCTAAGGGAGCATTCCCTTGCAACGTGCAAAGTGAACAGCCTATTTGGCATTAGAAAATGAACCCAAAAGTGGAACATTTGAGCAATAAATCTGTCTTTGGACATTAATGGAGAATGCTGCACATGTTATTTGTGCTGAAGGTTTATTACAGGAAGCTGCAAACACCCCACCACCGAACCTCAGGTCACATTATCTATTTGAAAGATAACATTATTCTCATCAGCTGCAATTCAATGGAATTAAGGCTTCAGGTTGCCAAGTTCAACACGAATAAGGTTTCCACCTCGCCTCTTGGCCTTCTGGAATCTGTTCAATTTAAGGCAACATACTTTCAATTTAAAGTTTTCAAGAGAGAACTCGTGTGGACTTCAGTACTTTTTCCTGCAATCTTTCTACCCTGACAAAAATTGTGTGATGGACAACTAGGCTGCTTCATCTCCAAAATGCAGGTATCCTACCCATAATCAAAAGATGATAGCTTGTTTCATCAGTCACACAGTTAAAGTGACACTAAACCAAAAATGTGCATTCAGGTACCTTAACTATTAATAAAAATTTATCTTATTTGTGCATCGGCTGTAGATCCTCCAATCATCTCTGAATCGGTGCTGACACTGTCCTTCCTTCTGTTCCCCATAGTCCCTGTGTGTGTTGTAAAGTGGTCACCACTCCAAGCTCACTCCCGGAATGGACTACAATCTCATTTCTAGTTTACTAATTTGTATTGAGATTGCAGTCCACCCCGGGAGCAAGCTTGGTGCTGTGACTACTTTACAACACACACAGGGACCATGGGGAACACAAGTAGCCCCCTCCAGAAGGAAGAACAGTGTCAGCACCAATTCAGAGATGATTGGAGGAGCTACAGCTGAGTGATACACAAATAAGATACATTGTTGTTAATAGTTAAAGTACTTGACTATATTTTTAAGATTTAACTTCTGAGTTTAGTGTCACTTTAAGAAGTCCATAACTATTGGCCAGATAGTGTTTCCATCCTGTAACCCAGTATTCTCCCAAGGTAATCGCAGTCCTGCTGATCCCTGCTGTTCAAATTACAGTCTGTCCCAGTATCCTACAAATTTACCAGTCTGGAGAATGGAATATAATTTTAAAGATTTGCTTTTTGCAAACATGTTCCTTCCATTTAAGTTCTATGTCCAGCTGGAGGACAAGTATTTAGGCAAGGCTTGGATAGAACTTAGTTGGTGATTGCAGTGCTTAACTCGATGGGCATAATATTATCGAATAACACACACAATTAAAGTCAGGTGAGATCTGATGCAGGAGATGACTATTTATTGCCTTTCAGGATACAAATGTCTTCTCACACGGAATGTACTCCTGCGGATCTTGCCAGCGAACACCTGGAAAATTTACGGTCAGTGAGTAATGCAGATTTATTTCTGCTTTATACATAAATTCATGACCTTAATTTAAGGATGTAGCTCAACATGCAACTTACCAGTACCAGAAGGAGAATTCTTTTTATAGGCACTGGAGACATTATTAATGTCCTTCTTAAGGTGCCCATACACTGCACGATTCTCATACGAGAATCGTAGGAAATCCTTAAAGTGACATTAAACCCTCAGATTTTTTTAACATAAAACAATACTGTAATGTGCGCCTTACTGTAATCCATGGTAGTTTCCCTTCTCTTTGCTGCTCTTCCTTTTAAATCTGTATCTGTTCTCATGCTGGGCAGAACTTCTGTTTTGCAGCAGACTGCCTTGTCTCTGGAATGGATACATGGTGTCTGTGTATAGGTTTGCAACCTGAGACAGCACTACAGGAAGAGGCAGTCAGCTGCAAAGGGAAGTTCTCCCCAAGCATGAGAAGACATGAGGATTTAAAAGGAAGAGCAGAAAAGAGAAGGGAAACAACCATGGATTACAGTAAGGCGCACATTACAGTATTGTTTTATGTTAAAAAAATCTGAGGGTTTAATGTTACTTTAACTATTAACAAAAATGTATCTTATTTGTGTAT